GAATTAAATTAGTTTGGTAGTAGGTCAGACAAAGATAAATTCAAATTTTGCAGAGAACTTTGCTGCTTGTTGACTGGAGCAAATCTGGAAGAGAAAGGATCATAAATAAATGATCTAGTGCTATCTATAGGAATGAAAAAAAAAAAAAAAGAAAAAGAGGACTGCCATGCTTCAGTTGGACAGTGCTATCTGTAGAGATCTTTAACTACCTGATCTATACCATTGTCAATTAAGAACTTTTCCAGGATGCCATGTGGAATACTCAACAGTTCTGAGTTCATAAATGGAAAGTGTTTCATAATGTTATTTTCTCAGTAGTTTTTAATATATTCCCCTCCTCCTTCCTCCTAGTTTGTGCCAGAGGAAAAATCAAAACGAGAATTATGGAATTGACGCTCAAAAATTTCGTAGTGAATTAATGATGGATTTTTCTAATCTTTTTTTTTTTTAAGGTATTTGATTCCAAATGCAGGTGATGCTACCAAAGCCATAAAACAACAGATCATGAAAGTATTGGATGCCTTGGAGAGTTAATAACTAAAGACTTTGTAGAGAACAATTTATAAAGAAGAAGCAACCAAGATACTGTATGTGGACACAAGCTGACTGTTTCCCAACTGAATACTAACTTAAGAGAATTTTTCTGTTTGCTGATGGGAGTGCCTGAATAGCAGGCTTAAGATAGAGTAAATTATTATCAATTTCTGAACAGGATTTTAATTTTTTTTTTTATTATATTTTTTGTTGTTTTGAAGATACGTTTATTATAAAGGTCAGTTTGTTTCATTTTTAATGCAGCCTTAATGTGACTGATCTGCAGCTGGATTCATGGGAAGTGTATTAAAGGAATGAAGCACTGCCAGATAGGGAGAAGCAGTTGAAAACAATGTCCCTTCCACATAAAATGTCTCCATTGCCTACAGTCTATAAATGTGATTTTGCCTAGTGGGTAATATCAAGGACTGATTAAAAACTTAGGTTTATGGACATAGCAGATAAAAATCTTAGGAATACTGGTTCCTTCTCATTAAAAATGATTAAGTCCAGCTTGGGCTGCAGATAGAAAAAATGCAAGCAATTTGTAAAATTAACTTTTGCAAGTCTTTTCTGCTACTAGGTTAAATAATTGAAATTTATGCTAGGGATATTTTAAATACCAAAATGGACTGTGCACAATAAGCTTTTACTACAGGTTTGTGATTTTTTTTTAATTCTGCAAAATTTTATATTTCATAGGTTGAAGCTGTTTCTCTTCTAAAAATGAGTGTGTGCGTTGAAATTTAAGTTAATGCTTCCTGACAGAATATGACAGTTGAAAACAAGTTACCTTGCTCCTCAGAAACAAAATGTCTAAGATAATAATTAGACATTTGAAAACCTTCAGTTCAGCACAGAAATACGTGCTGATCGAAGGTGTGTTCAGCAAGAAAATTAATGCACACAAATAAAGTGAAGAGATTCAAGTGCCGTATACCTGTGATAAATGTATTCATTACCCGTTGCCTTCATTGGTTCAAGCATTTGTGTATATTCTTTTAACAAACATATTCTAAATTAATGTTTGAGAGATGGCAACTATGTGATAGTTTATCAACAGCTTTCCACTTGTTCCAAGAACAGTTCCCTTGTTAAGAAGCTCAGTACAGGAATCTCGTTAAGGCAGAAGCATAGCATCTTTGTATATGCTAGGATGTGGAAATTACCAAAAACTGTGAAATAAAAATAATAGGGATTACCTTTGCTGCGTGAGATCTTCTGAGTACTGAACCAAAACCTGTGAATTGGGACATCATTAGGAGGTAAAATAAATTTAACTGACCTTTATAAAAAACAGTTATTCTAAGTTATCTTACTAGGAATCAAGCTAGGGCACCTTAATTCTGGAACTAATTCCTTTTTTTTTCTCCTTAGTATCTGAGTAAACACCAATAGAACTTGAACTGTTGAAGATATTTGCATGAAATTGCACCTGGGCCAGTGCTCTTGTAATTATAGTTTTGCCCAGCAGCTGTTGTATTACATTTTCCTCTTCCTGCTCCCTTCTGAAAATATCCTGAAGAGTCTCTGACTCTGTGCCTACTTCAGCAATGAGATTTTTTTCATGTAAAGATGTTTGTGTTACTGTTTATAAACTACAGTTGTAAATAAACTAGTACAATTTGAACATAACTTACTCTGTCAGAAAGCTTTTAGTTGCATACTGTGTGACTTCTCTGAATCAATTAACGGTTTTTTCTAAAGGTATTTTGTAAATGGAAGTGAATTTGATCTTTGAAGTGGGAGCTGATTATGGATCATAGGGGAGCTACTGTCAGTGACATCTTTACATTTGTAAGTATTTTGGAATTTAGACTTCAACTAATTTCATTAAATACTTTTGGGTGAGCCATAGTAAGCATTCATAGAAAGGTCAAAATGAGGTAACAAATGATCGAATTACAGAAGGAGTCTCTGCATAAATTCCAGACTTCTCAGCATCATATTTTTATGTTATGAAAATGTTGACAAAAATGATACAACTCATTTCTCCTAGTCATTGCGTGGGGAACTGTGAAAAGTATACAGTAGCTAAACAGGTGTATTTGGGTATTAAATACAGAAGGTGGGTAATGTATATGCTTCTCTGAGGACAACGCATACAAACCTTTTAGATCTACAGTAAGTCAGTTCTTAAATCTCTTCTGTGTAAAAATGTATAATCCAAGCCATTAAGAGTCTAATTATGTGTAATTTTTAAGGCAATGTGCAAGTTATCAATAGACTCCTTATCTTACAAAGCTCAGTCCAAACTGAATAATTTCAGTGGTGTTTTATGCATCTCTACCTACAATTTAAAGCCTACTTTTGCTTCATAGCGTACATATCTGTTGTTAGCATGTTTGTTACAAAACTTGTATTGGTAAGCAGAAATTCCAATTATAGTACTGGAATGACAGTTTTGGGAAAAAAAATCAAAATAGTCAGTATGCTACTTCCTGGCCCTTTCATCTTCAGGGCAATTTTTTTAAAAATTACTTGCCAGAGATTTGTAGGTTTTTGTTTTATTTTGCATGCACTGCTGTCTGTATTGTTGAATACAAGGTAACAGCTGCCATCTTGCTGACATTTTAATTTTTGTTTCTTTTGGTGATAGAAATGAGGCAGGAAAGAAAATTTCTTCTCAGAGTAAGCTTTCCAGACAAATGGCACCTCTTACCTTTGGGTTTCATAGCCAGGGTCAGTGCTTCTCTGCTCACTTGATGGACTCCTCAGTTGTCTCACAAATTCTTTTAGATTCTGATCTGTATGAGAATTTGTACAGAACTTCACATGTATTACCCACCAAAAATAGTCCAATGGTGGAGATGCAATTTTATTTACATTGACTTCTCCAGATGTAAGTAAAGTTTACTTGCTGCTCTTTCAGTTTAGTTCCTGTTAGGCCTTACACATGGGTCTCAGCAATGTTTGCAGATTTTTCCTTCCAGCTGCATTTCAGTTGGTTTCAAAACTTTTGATACCGTCAAATAACCTTTTTCAATATAGGGATGGTCTACTGAATGGCTGAAAAGTTTCCCCTTTTGGGGATAGAGGAGGGTCATAGCATATAACTTGTTTTTTGGGTGTATTTAGTGTTTTCAGATATTTTTGTTTTGAAACTTGAGAAATTCACTGTACCTCTCTGAACCATGGAAAACTATATTTTTAGCCTGCACTTTTTGACTTGAGGGGTTGATACTGCCTCACTACTTACTCTCTTTCTTATTTTGTGCTTTGCCTCAAACTTCATGTGAATTTGAGACAGCCATTCTTTGCATCTGGAGCCCTGCAAAGTGTGCTGTCAAAAAAAAACAACAAAAAAAAAAAAAAAAAACAAAAAAAAAAAAAACAAAAAAACAACCAAACAAAATTTGTATATGCTGTTTCTACTGCCATGGTCACACCTGAAGGGAAGGGAAGCCTGCCAAAGAGCTGCTGCATCCCTCCTCATCTGCAGTTGTCCAGTCTTGATAACTCTGCCATCCTTTGGCTTGGTCGGTTTGGGATGAGGTGTTCCCTGAACTGCTTCAGGGGGCAGACTGAACAGCTTTTCTGTTGAAGGAAGGTTTGTAACTGCTGCAAGCAGTGGTGGTTGTGCATTTTATGGTGGTTGTGCACTTCCCATCCTTTATCTTTCTGCACCTGTTTCCTGAAAGTGAACATGTGCAAGAGATTGATCACCCTGGCTTGCCCATTTTGTTTTATCTTTGCCCCTTCTGCTGTCATGTGCTTTCAACTTGTGGAGATACTCTTGCGTGAGAAATACAACATGAATCTATAATTCCATGAACTTGCTTTTAAAAAGCCTAAGAATGTAAAATATATACATGAGGCAGCAATGTTCTGTGTTGAGTAAAGGGGAGCACTCGGTGTTTAAAGGTAGTAATAAAAACAGCATGGCAGTTAGCATACTGGTTTGTACCTTAGGAGATGCTGTTCTCGTAAAGGGAGATGGGGATGGCCCAGCTGAACGAGTTACCTGTAAACTGGCACCCATCTCTTGGGACGAGCGCTTAACAAATACAAGGCTGCTGAGGACTGCAGGGCGGTGGGAAGAAGGGATGTCGGTGCATCGGCTCTGAGGAGCACCAAGAGATTTAGAGGCACAGCTGTGGTTTTGCCAGGGGCTGAACTGGGACTGGGAGAGTACTCCCGGCTCCCAGCAGCGGCTTGGGCTCGGGGAGCTTCCCCCCCTGCTCTGAACCCGGGCGCTCTCAGCAAAGCTGGGGGGAGGCAGCTGTGAAACCGGATCAAGGAACTTGGCAGATTTTTTTTTTTTTTTTTTTTTTTTTTTTTTAAATCAGTATAGGAGTCGGTTTTAAACAACTCCCGGGTAAGAGGCGCTCCCCATCCCCGCCGGGCACTGGCAGGCGGGGCTGCAGCCGCCGCCTCAGCCGCGGAGCTGGGACTACATTTCCCAGCAGCCCTCAGCCCGGCGCTGGGGCGCATGCGCCGCCCAGCCCTATTAAGGTTCGTGAACCGGCGCCGCGGGGGGGGGGGAATGCAGGCGGCGCGCGGAGCCATGGCCCGTGAGTGGCGGCGCGCGGGGGAGCGGTTGCTTCCTCTCGCGGACCTCCCCTCGTCCTCGCGCTCCCCCCTCGCCTCTCTCCTTCCCGCCCCCAGCCGCGGGCGTGGGGAAAAGGGCCGACATGGGGTTGAACTTGCCCCTCTAGCGAGGCTGCAGCCTCCCGCCTCGGGCCTCGGCCGGTGAGGGTGGGCCGCAGCCTGGCGCCGCCGCCTGCCCCACCCGCCCCGGGGCTCTCCGCGGAGTCACCGCCTCCCCTGTGGCACCAAGGGCCACCCTGAGCCGCTGCCGGCCTCTCCTTGTTCCCACTGGGCTCTCACCCTCTTATTTGACCGCGGAAACGCAAGCGGCGGCGAGCCGTGGGCTGGGTGGTGCCCCGGTTAGTGCCCCCGTGCTCTCCAGTCCTAGTCGGGACTGGAAAGGCCTCAGTCCTGGGTGCTGTCTCTCCACCTTTGAAGGGGTGTGAAATAATAAGGGTACTAGAGGGAGCTGCTTCGGGCACTCTCACTTTGCCACAGGCTGGTAGAAACGGCTTGCTGTGCATCTTTCTGTACTGCTGCAATGCTCGGCTTGTCAAGAAATGTGATCTGAACAAACCAGACATGCTTAGCTCCTGCTGTTTTCCAGAAAAAAACATGCTTCATAGTGATAAAAATACAAACCGTTCTTTTAGTGTGATGCACTTTTACCTGGTTGTGGTCTGGATTGCTATGGACTATCCTAAGAATTGCTTTTAAAGAACTTTCTGAGGCATCTTTGGCCAGAAAAAGAGGTCTTGCACCTCTACTGCACTGCCACACGTTTATGTATTTCTTCTACATCTCAACATATTTAAACAGAACTGTGGGCAAAAGTAAATGTATTCTGTTGTGACTGAGCTTTAATTTTGTCCTTTAACAAACTCCAGACCTGAGGCATAGGGAAAATAAGATTAATGGTTTCCTGGTGTTTTAAATATTATGGGAAGAAAGTTGGTTAAAAGTTTTCCTAGTAGATGCTCTTTTGGATGGTTTTTTTGTTGTTTTGTTTGTTGGTTTTGGTTTGCCTTTTTTGTTTGTGGGGTTTTTTGTGTTTTTTGGTTTTGTTTTTTTTTTTTCCACAGAAGTGTATTTATGCTGAAATACAAGTCTTTAAGTGTCTATTTGTTCAGAGCTATAAAACATATCACAGATAGGAGGAAGTTTTAGACAGATTCCTAGTGTGGTTATCTAGGTGGGCCTGAGAGCAAACTATGGTTACATCTCTTCAAGATCTCAATAAAGCTTTGTTTACTCAATAAGCTAAATATTCACATGAAGAGTGGCAAAGTAAGCAGTTAATCATTTGCATAAATTCTACAAACTAGCTGCTTAGCTAAGCTACTGAAGGGAGAACTAAAGTAGGAAAAAAGATACTCTGCTTGACTGTTCCTGACCAGATCACATCTTTATTTGAATCATTTCTTCCTGTTTCCCTGGCCACTGAGGCTGTGTTGCTTGCTGCTTTTCTTTATTCTGTAGTGATCTTTGACTATATGACAGGGGAGTTTTCCAGAGAAGAGGGGTGCTTTGAAACGGGTACTTTTCTTTATGAAGCCAGAGTGTTGGGTTTGGGGGTTTGTTTGTTTGTTTAAAGGAGGCAGTTCTACCTCATCAGGATGTGTTTTCCTACAGCCCAAGGTACTGGGAGATTCATGGAGGGAAGTCCAAAGGGTGTGCACAAATCCTGGTTTCATCTCTCCCACTTTGTGTTCTTCAAGAGCCTGCAAATATAAATCATGCTTTGCTGCAGTAGAGACAGTGATGATAACACTGTCAACTGTCTCTTGGCTGGAAATCAAATTGCAAAGACATGATTAGGAAATACGTTGTCTTTATTATCTTTTATAGCCATTTCCCAGGCCAGGTATGATTTGAGGGTTAAAAACAAGCTATTCCCATATTTGTTGCTTTTGGGATTATCCAGTGTTTTAGTTTGCAAGTGGCATTTTAGGACGTGTGGTGCTCATCAGGCGACGGGCGCAACAAAAAGGTAGGCTCACAAAGCGTGTAGCAAACTGGGGAGGAAGAAGCAGGTCTGGGTGACTAGTAGTCTTCCTGTCTGTCACAGGGTACCTTACATTAGAACTTGGGCAGGGTGCTGCCTAGGCTAAGTGTTACCAGCATGTGAACTCTGTGATCATCTTTGACCTGAGCAGCAGAGTGATGGCAATGTATGGTTCCCGTTAGCAAGCCTCAGTTTAAGTCTTCTCCCTGTTTTAAGAGACTGTTTCCAGAGTCATAGACACTGCAAAAGGAGCTGGAAGTAGTTTGTGTATATGTTAATATATGAGAAGAATCATTTTGTTAAATGCTCATTAGTGAATTCAAATTTCAAAGAGTTTTTCCTGGAGAAATTCTGCTGACTAATTTTTATTTTCTGCTATTAGACTTCCGCCTGGCTCTTATTCAGCTTCATGTATCTGCTGTTAAATCAGATAACCTTCAACGAGCCTGTGGGCTGGTGAGAGAAGCATCAGCTAAAGGAGCAAAAGTTGTGGCTCTACCTGTGAGTAAAGATCATGCTACTTAGCACCTATACCTCAGATCCCTGAAAACCTCTTTCACATGTTAGTCAGGCATTATATATTCCTGTTTCTCTCTGGACACCTTAGATGTTGTATGAGGCTCCAAAATAGGGAAAAAACCAGGGATTCTGTCTAGCAACACGCATAAGAGGGGGGAAAACAAGAAGAAAAGAAAAAAGAAACAGCAGGTTGTCTCTTGTATAAGAATCTGGTTTAGTTTGTGCTGGTCTAAATTCCAGGCGATTCCATCACTGGTATGTTCTGAATTCACAAAAGTGACACTGTGGTTTGAATCTTTGCAGAAGCCTTCTGTGCTAGAAATGTAGGAAAAGGTGATTTTTCAGCTAAGGACTGTTGAGATGAAGATGAAAGAAAGCAGATATACAGTGATTCTTTTTGCCATAATCATTCCAGATTAGATAGTACATGAGAAACAACATAGACTTGAGTCATCTATGGCTGAATTATGATTAAAGCACATTTCTCTTGTGACTTCCGTGTGTGGGAACCTAAATAGCCACTTAAAATTACTGATCATGTTTGATTTAGTTTTTGGACTTCAGCCATGCTTACCTTGCTGAATTTTCACACAGAGAGTGTGCTGGCAACAAGGTAACCTTTGCAGTGCAGCTTTCAGCATTTCTCCTCTCTTCCTGGGGGTATGTGTGTTCCCCCTGTGCCCTGCAGCATCTGACTGGGAGGGCAAAGTTCTTCTCTGGCTGAACTTCTGGTCTGGATCTTTTACATATAGAATGTTGTCCCTCTTGCTGTCACAGGCAAAGCATTAAGCAACCTTCCCAGCTCCTCTGTGCTAACACAGCTCTCGTATTGCAATTGTGACCTTTGATTGTTCTGGCTGGGCCTCCTACATTGAGATTATCTACTATTTGCTAGTTTCATCATGTATATGAACATTGAGTTTCCCAGACCTATTTAGTTGAGCTACTTTGCCAGTAATAATTTATGCTTTTAGACTAACACTTGCCAAACAAGGGCAAGGCTTTTTACAGACTTTTGGGAGGTAAATTTTGTACTGGCATTAGAACATGGGCATGAAAGGGCATGAAATATTCTCTTCCCTCCACATTTTTTTTTTTAAAGTCACACTGCGTAAAGAACAGAAACAACTTGTACTGAATAATGAATCTACACCTTTGCAGTGGCATATAGGTTTTCCTGTGACATGTTAGCTATGATGTGTTAAACTTTTATCAATTTCTGAACCAGGAAAAATTTGTGAGAGAAAAACAATTTGTAATGTGTACAGCTAAAGAAATAAAACCAGAATCCATTTGAATCTAGAAATTGATAGAAAGCAATTCAGAGATCTGTCTGTGTATTCTTACCACTTTGGAGAGCACAGGACTAGGTGATCTGTGCAAACAGCCTGCAGTTCTGTTCTAGCATTAACTCGCAGACAGCCCCGTGCTCCGCTACAACAAGCTGGCACGGAGCTGTGCCAGTTCGCTTGAGCCTGCGGTTTCAGTACCCCCTGCATTGACACCTGCAAGTGGCAAGATGGAGGTGGAGGCAGCTGACATTGCTTTTATTTCCTTGAAGTTCAGTCTGACTTTCAAAAGCCTGGGAAACTCATTTGACAGCCTGCAGAGACTTCCCTTCCTGCCTCTCTTCCATCTACAAATTCTGTGGCAGGTTAGTTGGTGCCTGCTGGCCCCCTGTCTGTATATGGGGCAAAAACATCCATCCAGATTTGGTTCAGTTATTCCAGGTCAGTAGAATCTACTGCAGTTGTTAAGAAGTTTGCTTGAGTGGTTAAGGCGTAAATTGATTGTGCTTTCCACAACTAGATTTTGGATTTGTTGGTTTGTTGGTTTTTATTTTGTCTTGGTACAACTTCCAGTGAGCAAAGATAACAGTTGAGGCAGATGCTTGGGCCAGGAATCACTTGCCAAAGAATAGGTTCTGGTGCTGGTACTGTTTGATAGCTCATCTGTGGCCTTCGGCTGTACTCCTTTAGGGGGTGAAAAAGTTTTGGGGGCAGGGAAGGCAAGTCTCACATCCTCACAGAGCTGGCAAATATAATGTGGAGTAAAAGTTCTGGATATTTTGGCTGTCTCAGATACCACTAGCCACCTAGTTTAGGCATCTAAACCGCTCTGTTAATCTTACTCTAAAGATTCCGTGCCTGGTTCTGAGGCATAGCAAATCTTTAACGAGGACAGAAGACACTGTTCAGTTGTGAGGAAACGGTGTTTAATGGATTGTTTTAGCAAAAGAATAAGTAATTTTGAGAAACACATTCTTTGCCAAAGTCCTTTTAAAAATGAAAGAAATCATGGGTTGTGGACAAGCATGAGCATCTCACAGTTTTGAGAGAATCTCTTTAGCTTGTAGCTTGGCAAATGAGCTAGGTAGAACTGGGTTCATTGTTCTGATGGGAACACATCTTGTGATCTTGTTAAGTTTAGACTGATAAAAATGCTAGCCTTGTTACTTGCAGCTTGCATGATAATCCTAGCTCATGTTCTGTTTGGCACATGGTCTCACCAACACACCCACTGCATTTTCTCTAATTGTTAGGGTCTTTCTGGCCTCCTGATACTTTCTGATTTGCTTATTGAGGTCCTGTAAACTAAACTGTACCTAAAGACTATATGAGAACATTGACAGAGAGGAGTTTGAAAGGTCAAGTACATCTCCTTACAGTGGTGTTACTGGATTTTAACATTTTGCCCCCACTCCCCCCCCCCCCTCTAATTCTAGGAATGCTTTAATTCTCCATATGGAACACAGTATTTTAAGGAGTATGCAGAGAAGATCCCTGGGGAATCGACACAAAAGCTCTCAGAAGTTGCAAAGGAGTGCAGCATATATCTCGTTGGAGGTAGTTTACTCTTTGAGGGAAAAAATTAGCAATGTCTATTACTGCCATGAGATCAAAATTCCATATAATACAGTGGGGGAAATCTTTGTTCTCACCTTTACAAAGGATCCATTCCAGAAGAGGATGGTGGAAAGCTGTATAACACGTGTACTGTCTTTGGGCCGGATGGTGCTATATTGGCAAAGCATAGGAAGGTAAGATGGGAGAATGTTGTCTCTAAAAGGTTTCTCAGCAGTGTTGCACAAATTATTTCATCTGTGCCTAAAGGTGATGTGAATTAGTAGAGTCTTGCATTAATAACAAGCTGTGTACTGTCAGTAAAATTGCATGTCATTTTTATGTGGGACATGTAAACACCCTTTCCAAACGTGATCATGAATTTGCCCTGGGTAAGGATGATAAAATGAGGAAGGCATAATGGGCTTTTCCCAGATGCTGGGAAAACTGTAGTGAAGAGTAAATCCCGATCCAACTCATCCGTGTACTTTGGTCTAGCTCTAAAATATAGTACCACTTAAGTGGAACCAGCATTTTCCCTCAGGTTTCCAATGGATTTAGTCCTCCTGTTATCATGAGTACTGTTCTTTACGTACTTTGTGTGCTATATGTATGATTAGTATAGACAACCAAAGTCCAAGTTCCACAGTTAGGCTGTGTCTGCTGTTCGTGGTGGATGCTTGCTTACTGTCACCTTCCACCTGGACATTGCTTTGTGCCTTATGTGAAACCACCTCCTGTTCATAACTGTGGAGTGTAGTTTCTGTTAGTATGCATACAGGTGTCGTTCCTTAGGTGAACAACAGCTTACTTCTTTCAAGGAAAAACAAAAAAGAGAATGCAAGGTTACTTCTAACAAATGGGGTGCTGCAAAATACCTCTGGGGTACAGGTATTAATTTATTCTGTTAACTGATTCTATGCTTAACTACACTAATAGTTCACTTTCTGAAGTACTATGTTGCCTTCCATCTATCATGCCACACCAGTCTGCAAGCCCAGTAGTTGTTTGTAGAATGAGTGCAGGTTTGTACTGTGTAAATATGAACGAATAACAATACAAAACCAGCTGTATTTTTAGGAAACTCTGGTCAGGAACAGAATCTTCCACTGCAGGGGAGGGATAAAGACTGTCTGCAGGGGCTAAGAGGCACCTGCATAACTGAAGTAATGGGAACTTTATGATTTGCTGAAGGTATTGTCTCGAGAAGCTTTGCAGGAATGGCACTCAAATCTTAGAGAGGAAAATATCACCTGCTTTTAACAGACTTTAAAATCATCCTGACAAGTTCAAGACATTTTATAAAAGTGTCATTTCTTTTGCAAAATTACTCATTAGATCAAAATATCTAGCTATTTTGCAGGGATTCTTTCCATGAAGAAGGTACAGAGCCATGCTACAAATTAATTGTTATATTTTTAGCTATTTTTAACTAGTCTCTTACTGCATGGGAGAAGGATAGGGCGTTCTATTTGATAACCATAAAAATGTTTGATATGTGCCTTACTTGGATCACAGCTGTTGTATGTATTGTTTAAAATGTCCAGTCATTTTCTTTTTTCCCCAAACTAAATTTAAACATGTATATTTCTGTAAAGAAGAAAACTGCTTTAAATCCTCTTTAGCAGATCTCACAATCTTAAACAATGTTTGGTTGGGAGCCTGACAAAAGAAGAGTAGTCTAGATAACGGTAACTAGGAAACACATGCCTAATAGAAAGAGGCGCAAATACAAAGCAGATAAATTGTTACTAATTGTTATTAATCTGCTATAATTACAGGTTCATTTGTTTGACATTAATATTTCTGGGAAGATACAGTTCAAAGAGTCTGAAACACTGAGTCCAGGGAATAGTTTCTCCATGTTTGATACTCGTGAGTATAAGACAAGCGCTCTCTTTAAGGAGCTGTACCACAATCACACTATAGTCATTCTGGAGTTCTCTTGCCCCTCCCTCTCCTCAGCAATGAATTTTTAGACTATCAGATTTATATTAAGTACTTGACAACCATGGCAAATATAGCTTAAGTTTGTTCCAAGTGAGTGGGCCACTTCTGAAACTTTTTCCTCCTTGCAGTGTGCATACTGTAAGAAAGTAGTACACGGCTGTAGTTTCTTGAGTCCATGAAGAGCAGTGAGTGCTTTCTTTTCATAAAAAGAAAATAATTGAAAAACCTCCAGCTAAATCAGACAGGAATACATTACACAAAGACCTGATATAACATGATTTTGTGGAAACGGCTGTTTTTAAAGAGTAGATAAAACTGCTTCTCACAGTCCTCATCATGAAGCATGAATTGTCCCCCACAAACAGCCAATAATTGTCACAGATAAGGATACACTTTTAAATATAGCTTGTTACTGTGAGAAATATAAAATAACAGCTGGCAGGATGGCTACAGGGAGTCTTGTGATTGCTTTTGTGTACTTGTGATAGCGATATGACTGTTGTCTCTTGTGTTTTGAGAACAGCGTACTGTAAAGTGGGCCTGGGCATCTGTTACGATCTCAGATTTGCGGAGATGGCTCAAATCTACGGCCAGAAAGGTGAGGCTGCGGCACCTCGTGGAGCAGGGTGAGCCCTCGGGCCTGAACTACACAGGCCCGTTTCAGGGTGGTACATGCTGGGCAGTCTGTGTCATCAGGCACTCTTATCCTTACCCAGTAACACCAAATACATCTTGTGGCCAAGACCTTTGTTATTGAGGTAAGTGTCTGTTCTCCTTGAGCAAAGTAACGGTAATTTCCTGATAAACTTTTGCTGATGGAGTGATGGGGGCGGGTGCATCCCACGCTTGGTGATGTCTTACAGGGCTCTGCTGATGTAAGTGATGGCCTGGGTCCTGCAGGGACAGGCTCTCTTTGGTTCCATTTCAGGCAGTACTGAAAGAAACCTTGCCTTGAGCCTCAATGTCAAGGGCCACTCTAGGGTAAACCATCTTCCCCTTAACGATGGTTGGGTTCTGCTTTTCTTTTAACAAAGGTTGCCAGCTGCTGATATATCCAGGGGCTTTTAACCTGACAACAGGACCAGCTCATTGGGAACTGCTACAAAGGGGTCGGTAAGAACAAAGTACCGGCTTATCCTTCTGTTCCCGAGGGTGTGCTACCAGGTGGGACTGGACAGTTCTTGTGTTCCAAAATGACCCTCTGCATCAGAAGTGGTGCTGCAGGGCCACTGCTACTGGAACTGCGCTGTTCCTCGGGCCTTGCCTGGGACACCAAAATGATTTTGCTGTTAAGGAGAAAAGCAGGCAATGCTTATCCTTCACTCCTGCCAGCCCCTTGGCACTTACGCCCTTTCAAGGACCTTTTCCCCACAGCACTGTAAGCACCCTTTACACACAAAGCTCTAGACAGAAGGGCCAGTAACCATTTGAGAACTGCTCCAATTACAGATAGAAATAGACCCTGAGATTCCTGAATGCAGCATTATTTATTCATTTGGTCAGCTTCAATCAACTTTGCCATGTACTGAATGAACATGTAATTCATGGAGCAGGTGCTACAGACTTCTCTTTCCAGGCTCTGCTTTCTCTGACCTTCATATCATTTACAATTTCAGCTAGTCCCTAGGAGGATATATAGCTTGCCCTTCAGAGTGAATTATTTCTCTTCTGCTTAGTTAATTGGTGGCATAAAAAAAAAAATTGTACTCACCTTTTCCCCCCCTTCCCTCATCTTTCTGTGAACAGAGCTGTTGATAATCAAGTCTACGTAGCTACCGTATCTCCAGCTAGAGATGAAAAAGCATCCTATGTTGCCTGGGGACACAGCACTGTAGTAAATCCATGGTGAGTTCAGAAAAAAACCCTAAACTTACCTTTTCTTGGTTAAAAAACGTTTTACTTGACAGTCACATTTCAGTCCCACATTTCCATTTACTCTTAAAAATGTCATAAGTTCTTGGTAAAAAGCACCTACATTCTAAATCATCCTTTAAAACTGTCTGACTGAAAAACAGGAAAGAAACTAAAACTAGTTTAACGGTATGTATGCTTTTTGGTAGCAAAGAAGCTACTTAATACTAGTATTTAGCATTAGTTAAGCTGCTGACCTTTTCAACTTGTCCCTGAAGGCCAGTCCGTTATATACTATGCAGTTTGGTAATTCTCTGTGCAGAACTGAGCCATCTTAAACAGCTTATGCAAAACTATTTCATTTCCTTAAAGAACAACACTGCTTTGACATAAGAAAGAAGAATGTCTTCAGGTTGGTAAGAGACATTCTGACTTAAGCAGAAGTCACACAGGTGCACAGGAGGTAAAAGCGACCCAATCTTTAGGCAGTTATTTTTCTTTCAAATAAATCCACTGATAGTTCTCTTCCAGATGACTGCAAGGTAAGAAAAGCTTTATCTATGTCTTGAGCTTTTAACTTTTTACGATGAGAGCAGTGACAGAACACCTAGTGGGAGACACAATAAGTAATGTTCAGTAGCTCATAAAGAGTAAAAGTATGCTCCTATGAAAAGCCAGTAGGATCTAAAAGGAGAAAGTGTTAGTCTTTGCCATATATGGTTGTCCCTGGTGAAGTTGTTTCTTTCTCTTTGAGGTACAGTGCATGCTCGCAGGCACTGGTTCTTACAGTTGCTCTTACCGTGATTCTTGGTCTTCAGAAACATACTTATGTGAAATATGTATATGTCTCATATAAAACGTGCCACATATTAAGCCTGGAAACCATTTCGATCATGCCAGAATTATGAATTATGATGCTATTTTTAAGACAGCCCTGTCTTTACAGCTGTAGACATCAAGGGTAGGAACTCTTTTGTACAAACAGCAGCAACTGGACTGATGCCTTGAGACCTCAGTGTTAATGCGACAAACAAATGTGCTTAATTTTGCAGGGGTGAAGTCATAGCCAAAGCTGGGGCCGAGGAAACGGTTATATACACAGATATAGGTAAGGGTAAAGTTTTTTCTCCTACTTGCTTCCTTGAATACAGGTCGTGGGACTAAGGAGAGACAGTTTTTTAAGTCTGTGGGCTTGCATGTGCAATTACAGCTGATGCAGTGTTCCCATCCCTTCTCCCCCCTTCGCTCGATTCAAGCAAGAACAAGCAGCACTTGACTGTACTCTTCCAGTTTCCTTCCTTACGAGGAGGCTGCCACCTCAGGAGAGAGCCAAGTAGAGGCTGCCCAGCTGCAGTGCCCCACAGACCTGTTCTCCATGAAGGCTGCTCTTCTCCCTGCCTTACCTCGGAGCAAGTCAGGAGCTTTCCATTTTGACTGCTGTTCTAATAGCTCTTTCTTTCCGCCCTGCAGATCTGAAGAAACTTGCAGAAATTCGTCAACAAATTCCTATTTTAAGCCAGAAGCGTTGTGATCTCTATGGCATAGAGATGAAAAAGTGAAGCTGGGTGAATAGGGAAGGTTCAGCTGGCTGCTGCTGTCACCTTCAGAAGGATTCCCTTGCTAGTTGCTCCACAATCTACTGCTAAATGTGCCAGTTAGTTCATTCAAAACCCCGCTCATTGGGTGGTATAATTCTAAAATTGATTCAAATACAACTTTTTATCTCCTCTTATACTTTAATATTTTATAGTGTTTTACAGCTAGGATAAAAAAGGTCAGATCAGTTCAACACAGTAGTAGTTACCATTGGTTTTTACGCATCACACTTTTTGTTACCTTTTGGGGGCTTTTTGTAGAACATAGAAAAGAGAACCATATTCTCTCCGTAAATCTTCTGAAGCCAGCATTGGTATTATGAATTTTTCAGCAAATTATCAGATAATGTAGAAGCATGATTCTTCCACCTCTGTCCTTTAGGTGTATGTGCCTTACCAAAGTTCCTTGAATGCCTAACTTGAAAAAGCTTAAAATTTAACACAGTAAGCAAAAAATGCCAAATTCTGCTCTGTACTACTTAAGGACACTGCGAGAAACTGCCAGACAGAACCACTACTGTGAAAGAATCTAACAGGTTTTGGTTCACGTGTCTTACCTGGAATATACGTAGTAGAACTCTCCTTATTGCAGTTCCTGTTTATTGGTGAAGTGGTGCAGGTCGCTGTTTTATTAGAGCAATTCATGTCACCACACCTCTGCTCTATATATTGCTTCCTTAATACAGTGCCTGCATGGGCTTTAATTCATTAATTCTGGCAGTCTTCACCTGAAAAAGTTGAGGGGAGTCACTCAATGCTTCCATGTATCATAACTGCTCTTTTGTATTTTTTTTTTTTTTTTATTGTTTTGGCCACTGAAATGAGCTAGGTCTGTTCTAGAGGAGCATTAATGGTTAAATTAAGCCACACCCTGAAGGCATCTTTCCCCTCAAAAGACAGGTCACACCCTTCCACTCAGTGGCATTATCTATTCCAGCAAGCATTTTTTAGTCTGTACTTTTCACTGCATTTTGGTGTACCTAGTGTACCGGAACTCCTAAGAAACAAGCCACAGAGCATAAGGTGAAATGAAGATTTATTTGTTGAAAAATAAATATCAAAAAATTAACAATTTACCATTTGAGTCAAGTTTCCTGCATTAGATTAGTACCTCCCACATACTCAACAATCAGCATCCCTGATGGCCAGCACTGGGCTCCAACTTCTAAATCATGGCAATTCCTGCACATCCATTTTTCTAAACTATTCTATCTGTCTTTTCCCTCCCTGCTCTGTAGTAGTTTAACACGCAGCAGAGCAGGAAGTAAATAGTACCTTTGGAGGGTTAAAGTAGTGCGGGATTCTTACGGGCTGACCACTTAATTTTAAAAATACAGAGTGCCAGCTGCACCAGCCACCAGAATCCAGGGCCTGGACCCTCCTCCCCTGAAACCCCCCCAAGGGAGAGAACAGATGAGAATCTGTAGCAAGCTACTTTGGTGATCTCAGCTGAAGAGGTGACCTGAGCTTAGCCCTCTTCAGTCTGTTAGGGCAATGTTTATTTAAGCACCTTCTTTTAGTAGGATGTTTGAGGGGTCTCCAGTACAATCCACTCAGAAATGATATGAAGGGGACTCTGAATTTTTGGGGGTTCCAGTGAAAAAAGGGTCAGTTCTCAGCTAGATAATACTTGAAGCAGTCTCTGTGGTGGTAGAAAACAGGCACTTTAAGTATCCATATTACACAGACGCACCAGTATTCTGTAATTATGAAAAACAGACAGTAACAATCCTGAAACAGCTCCAGAATTTCAGCCTGCAAGAACTTAAACTTTTTTTAAAAAAGGCAGAAAACACAGTAATGCCTGTTGTATGGGGCAGTGTTGTTACAACTGCAGCTGGGAGCCTGGTTAAAGCTGCATCTAAGCTGTTCTTAATAGTTCAGAATAAATTACAGTACAGCTCCCTAGTTCCCCTTTCAATCTGCGGTTAGATCCTAGTAATTCAAGTCACAGCTACTAATCTCCACTTTGGCAAACTTGTCTCCAACATGAACAAGGATTTTACACAATCTGAATTAAGACACAAGACAACTCTGTAGAAGCAGCTTCCCAGAGTCTCCAGGACCCGCTAGGTTTATCCAAGTCTTCAGTACTAGCTTCCTACATTATCGCAACAGATCTATTTACTTTAAATAGCAGTAATGCTTGTTTCAGTTCAGCTCTCAATCCCTACGGAATAAAGCTTTTCTCAAAGTTCACATGCACACCTGGCTTACGCCAAAATCTCACCTACATCAGCCATTGTAAAAAAAAAAAAAAAAAAATCCCTTTCACTAAAGGGATCCACCTGTACACAGAGTAACAGGGTGTCAGATACTCTGATTCCCAGCTTTCCTGACTGGATTTTCTTTCCTCTGTAAGGTTCAGCTCTCAAGACCGTACCTCAGTGGGAGATGGAAGCAATGGGCAATAAGACTTGCTAATTCCATGCTTCCTCCTCATTTTTTCTTAAAGGATGAAGTGAGAAGGTGACTGAGTCAGTCATTATTGGCTCTTCCTAGATTCAGAACAACCTCAGACAAGTAGAGGGAGCACCACTGCAGAGAACACTTTCACCAAAACCTGTTCTTATACATGTCAGAGAGAGATACTTGAAGGTAATATTTATTTTTTCAGTTTACAGGTGATACGTCATTTACAAAAAAAATTACAGACAATGCATCCTTTCAGTGCAGTTTCAAACTAGTTGAAGAACAGGCAGAAATCTGTGATGATTTGGAATGCTAGTATTTGACAGCACATGCTTTTTTCCCTTAATCGATTGGATGGGGTGAGGAATGGGGCACAGGTAGGGTGAAGAGGAGAAAATGCCAATGTAAATATAAGGCCATGCGAATAAAAACTCCTCAGGAGAACAGGACGCATCAGTCACCCTGGCATATTTTTGTTCTCAGGTAATTGATGCAGAGACTGGAAGTTCCAGAAGACATTTGACACTTGTTATATGCAGTGCCCTTAGAAGCTGCCAGTACCTTCCAATGCCTTCAGTTCTACACCACTGCTATGATTTTCAGATCACCTACTGAGCTAGCTAAAATAGAACGATTAAATCTTGATGTCTACTCCGCCATCTGATTTCTCAACTGCACTTGCTGGAAGAAAGGAAGGTCACGTTGAAAGTACAAGCTGCTGCTATATGGTGGCACAACTAGAGAACAAGACTGTTTGACCACAGCAGGTTCATTTCTTTAAAAGATGAAATCTATCAGACAATTCAGCACAAGCAAATCTATGATTTCATGAATGGAAAGAAGCCCAAATTAAGCATATTGTAAATTAAGCTACATCAGTTAAGTATCTGCATGAGGTTTATCCAGCCTGGTTAATCCAGGGAGAGGCAAAATGGACTGACTGTCTTCCATACCAGAAAGATCAACCCAAAGCAAGAGAGCCCTCCGTGAAGTTCCTAGCTAGAGGAAGACAGTTTACACTAGTATTGAATAGTTTGCCAATCTGCTATTTGCAGAACAGTTGCTTCCTTTCTACAGTATTTGTAATCTTGGACAAGACAGGGTCTAAAGAACAAGGAAACCAGTACAGATTCTAAATCCATTATTTGAAGTTTTAGCCTACGCTTTGTTCCTTATCTCACTTAATCCCACAAACCAGCTATTGCAAGGAGCAGATGAGAACACGGCAGCCTCTAGAGCCTGAAGAGAATTTAGATGGTCTATTAGCTGCTACATTTAAGTAAGAGCATCAGAGATTACAAAGATTATATGCAAGCATGACCTTACCTTGGCAGCTCTCCTCCCAGCAGTGCTTCCTGTTCTTGAAAGTCCCTCTGAACCTTCCAGGGCAATTTCCTGTGACGTTCAGGTAAGGACTGCTGCGCAGGAGCACGGCCTTTCTTCCCGTAAAACCCACACCGAAGCAGTGCTACCTGACCTCCTTCCCCCCATCAACCTTTTTACTAGCTCCCCTATCAGTACACTACGGCTTTCTGGGGTGAGGATAAGGACTATCAAATTAATTCCCTAATAGCTGCCACGGGACTATTTCTAAGTTACGCAGAGGGTGGGAAGGGCTTTAAGGGAAGATTGTGCATGCTTGCTTGTATTTACAGGAATTCTCTCCACATCTACTGACTTAAAAAAACCCTCTATTATTAAACAGTTTGAAAATTAATTTTTTTGCTTTTTGCAAAATTAAAATCAACCCTCAAGGATTAATTGCATATAAAAAAGAAACCTATTTTACAGCACTGACTAGTATTACCTTTAAAATCAACAGGAAAAAACCTCACATGCTGTAATATTGTTTGATAAAGCAAAAATCGCCCACAACATAATCACCCAAAATGAACCAGTGTGAAGTTTTTATTTGCATGGCCAAAATACCTTCCTTTTGTTCCTCTGCAACTTTATTTCCCTTAACACACTTTAAGGTTTTTGCTGCAGAAGGAACAAGATGCAACACTGCATACTTCCTTGAACAACCACTCCCACAACACCTAAACATTTAATAGATGTAGCAAATGACAACACCACGAACGGGAAAAAACTAAGTTCCACCATTCAACATGGTCTGCAACAGCGTCTTTAGGGCTGGCTGAAGTGGGCAACTTCACTTTAGAAGGTCATTTCCTCCTCGTTTCTTTACAGTGTTGGTGGTTTCAATCCATACTTCTTTGCAACTTCTGTCTGGGCATAGGCAGCATCACAGAGTGAGTAGAGGTGGGCCATCTCCATTTCAGATTTGGCCAGGTTGATAGCTTTGTTGAACATTTCAATGGCTTTATCCAGATTACCTCTGAAATAAACCAAAACATAGTCCAATTAAGACTGGCAAAACAGTCTTTTCATCTCTACAGCATCTTTTTTCCTTCAGGACTTACACTCGCCACTACTAACAGCTTAAAAGGACTTTGGGAGGAACCACCACAAGAACTTGCAATGATGATGATCAAACTGAGACAGCTGCTAAACAGCCTTCCCCCCATGGGTGGTAGTGGCAGATAAAGTGTTCTCCACAGGACACCAAGTTTACTACAAAGATAATGCTGAGATGACTAAATGAACTCTCATCCTCTCATCTCCCTTGAAAAGAGTTTGCTTACTTAAGAGGAAAACTAGCACACTCACATTATTTAAGTAGGAAATGCTTGCCAAATTCCTCACGGAAACAGTTTAATTATCTGTCCTTTTCATAGCTAGACATGTAAAAAAAAAAAAAAAAAAAGACTCAACTATACTCTCAGCTAGACCCCAAACTTGTGCACAATTGTAATACAATGCACCACACCAGAATAGCGCATCAGCCTTCCCTCTTTACCCTGTGAACTTGCAAACTGCAGCCCTGTCTGAATTCAACCCAAATTGTCAGGCCTAAGAGTAAAGCTCAGGATCCTCAGTACAAATGGTCCACTAAGATGTGTTTAAGGACTACATCAGATACACGGGAAGCCTAGTAATGATTAAGGAAGTCACTTTAAATGCAGAAGGGATGTATTTATATATACACAGACTCATCTGTATGTTGTCCAGTAAGTATGACACTGGTGAACACGGGAACGTGTCAGATCATAAAGCAGAATTATGCCATAGAGAAAGCAAGGTTTTACCTAAGAGCTACAGAACATAAATCAGGACTTTGGGTAAGAGCCAGCCTTGCAGAGAAGATCTTAACAAAGATCCACAAGGAAATCTAAAGGATTACTGTAATTTCAAAAGTAAGAACTATTAACCCTGCAGCTCAACATTACCTTTGCACTTCAATCGTTCCCATGGTTTCATATGCAAAATCACATTTGTTATCAATTTCAATGGCCTTGCTTATGAGTTCTAAGCCTTTGTCTAAATCTTGCTTCCACTGGAGCTGAAGTAAACTAGAAGAGAAAGAAAATTTAAAACAAACTTCACATTATCCTCCCAAAACCCTGATCATATAAGGAAAAAAAAAAAAAGATCCCAAATGTATTTAATTCCTTATGCAGGGTAGACAGTAACTTCATAGCTTTTAAAAACAAGTATGTGAAAGTGACTTTTAATAAGGTGTGTTACCAGTTTAACGACTCTAATGAAAGGTAAATTCCTCCCAAGAAGACTTGTTACAAGTTGTTTTATGAAAGAGAAA